CCATGCAGAATCCTGTGTTTTTCCCAAGAAAAACTTGCTGGCTAGGGAGAAACTTGATGACAGCAGAGTCATGAAAAGACAGGGATCCTTGAATACTGCAGCTGACTGTGTCATTTGCAGAGCTGTGCTGCAGACTTTATTACAATCTGTCACAATCTGTTTGGCTCTCAAATATTGAGAATTTCACATCTTTCCTCCACTGACCATTTAGTAGCTGTGATAATTAGGTCATGGAAAAAGAAGCAAATGTGAAACAAAGCTGGCAAAAGCAGCATATCCAGTGCTTTGGGGAAAAGACTGCCTTTTAATACAAAGCTTGACTGGCATCTGCATGTCTGCTTTGTACTGCAGTATGGGAGAAAAGTACGTTTAGCTGTGCCACTTTAAATGTCACTCTGCCACATCATTATAGTATGATGCTGAGGCTTCCTGATCTCCAACAGCAGCCTTATTAATGTTAAAAGATACTTATTTCCAATCAAGTTCCTACGTTAAGAGCTGCTCCTCATTTCTATTATGAACCCAGGATCCAAACACATACAGGCTTTGTAGAAGCTTAAAACCAAAGTGTCCAGCTTGGTTAAAATGTAGCTGGCATTACATGAAGAAACAGCCACTGTCATGATACACCACAGCTTTCTGTTGACACAGCTGATCTCCTAACACGAGGGAAAAGTACAACTATGTCCACGATCTGCTGTAAGCTGCTTGTGTTCTTAGCCTTTCCATGGAGAGGGGCACAACCGAGGTGCCAAAAGGAACAGAAGCTTTTGTGATATGGACACCAATCCACTGAGAATTGGACCAGCATCGTGGAATCACTTCAGACAGCCCCCTGACCAACCATGCTTGGGTTTGACTTATCTTGTATTCCACTAACTATCCCTGGAACTCCAAGTCCTCCACTCCAGGCATTTTAATGAACATACAAGATTACAGGAAAGAAAAAAAATCCAACGCAATGCAAACAAGATCCAACATGACTGACTCATGCTTTGTTGTGCATGGTGAGAGTAGACAATGGGGCCTCAAGAATCAGAACGTTCTTGTTTGGTCCCAGGGGGATGCAGGGGGTTTCAGTCACTTCATCCTTCTCATCCATTTTTCATAGAATCAGAGGACGTAGAGACCAAATAAGACACAGTTACATCACTGCAGCCATCTCCCTGCCAAAGCAAGATTGTTCCCTACAGGACATTTTTCACATTTCCTCCTCCCTTCAGTGTAGCTGCTGTAAGGACTTATGACCTGATGGTGCATTTACTAAGTATAAAGTCAAATAAACCAAGCTGCAGTGCTCCCTCCTGGAGCAGTGGAGGAGAGCCTGCCTGTATCATTTACGTGTCGCCTTAGAGACAGTATAACATCCACTGCTGTCCCGGGCCCCCACTGTGTCTGGCACTGGGAACTCTAACCAAATCCTCTCTCACATACCATAGCTCTAATGCCCTGCCATTGGGCAGATGGGAATAGTTTTCCTCTCCATCCTGGAAATGAAATATTTTCTGCCAACAAAGTCATTTTCTTGAGTGTCTAATGTCTTCATTTGGATGAAAAGAGTCTCATATCCATCAAAGCATCAGATCACAGGGAGTGAAGGAGGGGAGGGGTGAAAAAAACACACACAAAAAATTCATTGGGAGGAGGAATTTATGCTTGGCCAAAGCTAACTTATTTAAAATAATTCTAGCCTGCAAGATTGGGAATCTTGGTGACCCTGATGTGACATTACAGCATGTGACTTGCAGATAAAATATAATTAATTCTATTTGTTAATGTGTGGTTTATGCATGGAGAAAAGGGGAAAATAAATCTCTATGGGAAGGACAGCAGATGGATTGTCATAGTGTGTGCAGCTATGGGAAGTCATGTCTTATTTCAGTTAGCTTCCACAGAAACAGTGACAGGCCAGAACAAATGTAAATGTGCAATGAAACCACATTGCTAAATTGTTAGAAGTGTAATGTGCTGGATCTTCTTTGTGCTGGATCTCCCCGGACGATTCATGTACAAGCCTTACCACTGACGCTTTAGGGAACAAGGCTGGTGGACCCCAAAAGCTGACTCAAGGGCAGTACTTTCTGTGAATGCATCAAGCAGCCAAGTAGTTACTGCAGTGCAGCAGAGACCTGGCGGTGCTGTTGCAAAACCAGCTGCAGACCATGAAAAAGTAAATGCTTCCAAACCACTAGATCAATGACAGGCTTTTTCCATGCACAAGATGATCTCCTTTTTTTTTGAAAGAAATAAGCTATTTTAAAACACAACTAGCATTAATTCAAGAGAGAAGCCTCTAAATGCACTTCAGCAACTGCAAAAGAGAAACTGTTTAGAAGGGAAGGCTAGTTTTAATGAAGTAGGGAAGGCTTGAAACTTTGTGCTAGGAGAGATTCATCCCCTCTTTCTGTATGACATTTTAGAAGGTTTGGAGGTGACTGGATTTTTTTGCCATGAAGGAGATTTGGGGGGGAAGATGGAGGGAGGAAGGGACGGATAGGGATGGAGGACTGAATTCTGAGTGAACTTAACAGCCTATTATCTTCGAGGTCTCAGTCTCTGCCAGTGCAAGTAACAATAACAGATAAAGCCCAATGGCTGGATATTTCTGCAAATGTTATAAGCACTGTGATATTTAACAACATTCACATTTGAATGTCTCCATTAGGCTTCAGTTAATTTTCTAGCTCTTATCTCCCTCCTTCAAAAGCTCTTTGAAGTTTCAGGAAGATGATACTGCACCATTTCACTTCCAGCTCACACTTGGAAGGTGATCTTTGCAAATGAAAGGACTGAGCATAACATTTTATTTAAATAAGAGCTTACTTTTGAACATACAGTTCTGTTAGGAAGTGGAGTCTTCACAGACGCCTGGAACACAAGGGATGCTAGTCATTCTCCATTTGTGCAAGTAAGAGAAACAGAAATTTTCACTGCCAGATCTCAAGGTCTTTCCCCAAGAACGCAGTAATTTGGCTGGATTCACAACAATATAAATCTGTGCAGGCCCTTTGTATGTTGGAATCAAAACCAAGTTGATGGTTTTTTTAAAATATAGCTATCACTAATCAGGTCCCAGTAGCTTCCCTCTGGATAGGACTTTTTGCCTGAGAACACTGCTAAAACACAAGAGAACACATACGGCGGTTAGTTTATAGACTAGTTTGGCTAGTATGGTCCTCAGAAAAATATCTGTTTCCACTTGTCATGGAATATGTGTTTGAGCCCTGCTGGCAGCAACAATCCCATCTAACATGGTCATAGCTAACTCAGTCTTATTTCCATTATATACTGAGCCTTAGCTCCAACTTTATGTCTAGTTTAATTTGATTATTTTTCTTTCCCCTCTTCTGCCCAACCAGCGCTACTTGCTAGGCATTTGCTAGGTTTTTAACTGGAAATACAGGCTAATCAACTTAAGGCGCAGTAGATAAACTGAAGTTTTTCTGCATCTAGTTAGCAAACCACACTTTGTGATTCCGCTCTGCCTCTGCTACCTAAGGCCAGGGGCATCAACCTGAAACCAAGGAGTAAAGGCAACAAAACCCAAAAGCTACAGTTAAAAGATATACACAGAATGCTGACCCAGCTGCTTCTAGCACCACTATCAGACTCTGCAGAGATGAGGCAAAAGACCCTTGGGCAATGATTACTCCGCTCATGTCATTTAGGGCTTTTACCCAACCAAATGCACACACAAACACCAATTACAATTTTTTTAAACCACCATTTTTGTTTACTGCATCAACCAAACTAAATGTGCAGCAACTGCAACCTAAGACTATAAAGCAAAAATATGAGCACTATTGATTTTTTTACAGCAGCGATGTTCTTATATTTATATAATGCCTTTCATGTTCAAGTATCTATAGGCACCTTACAATCTTAACCATGAAATTAAGCTACCCTACAGAGGAAAATGATAGGACTCAACAACACTACACACTCATTTTAGGCCAAAAATATAGAAGAAAATATTTTTTTCATCCTGAAACTGTTAGAAGGATTTTTAGTAGGCAGAACATAATTATCAGGGCAGGAACTGGACACCTGGTCTCTTGCATAAATAAATACATAAATACACAAAATAAAAATAAATCTGTGAGCTCTGTACAAAGGATGGATGATCTTTACGACTGGAGGCAAGGGTAAAATGTGTTTGCACACTATCACTTAACATCATTTTCATAATAGTCACCACAAACTGCACAGCTTGCAGTCACTACACATGCAAACACAGAATAGGTGTGTAACTGCAGGCAGGCTTCAGTTTAAAAGTATGTCCATTAATAACAACTGTTTGTCAAGATATCTGTTTCCTTTCTCAACTGAAAGCCAACAGCTCCCACAGCAACGTTCCCCTGTCATCAAACTACAGAATTGGGTTGGTCCTCATTCAAAGAGATGAATGCAGCTGTTGAATCAGCAAAATGCCACCACACCAGCTTCTACAGTGGTTTCCCACCCAAGTACTGACCTGGGGCACATTTTCTTAGCTGAAGACCTGGATTCTCATTCTACCTTTGCAACTGCAATCACGTGTAAACTCAGGCAAATAACTAAAATGGGAACAGCAACACTTCCCTACCTCTCAAGGACCTGGCAAGTCCTTTAGTTCTGATTTTACCTATAAACACACCTGAGAGATCTCTACAAAGACTGCCAGACCAAAAAGAAAACCTAAATTTAAATCTTACTCTACGGCTTAAACACAGATTTTGGATTTCTCTAGGGACAAAGCCTTTTACTCTGGGATCCTACAGCTTGTACATGACTACTGATCCACTTTAAGTACCTGTGAAATATCTGAGAGTAGTTTTTCCCCAAGGACAACTGAGGCTAATTCAATTTAATTGTCATTCAAGTTACCTGTGTAAATACTGTCCTTGTTGTGATATGAGTCAAAGCCTGGGATAATCAGACCCTGGATAAACCCAATGTCTGTTTTTACCCTAGGGTTGTAACATAAATCTAGTCTCCAGGAAGTGGAAGAGGTTACTTACCGCCTAAGTGCATTTGTTAGCTCTGCAGCCAGTTCGCTCTCATTGTATGGTCTCAGCTCAGCTAGTGTTAACGACGCTGTGGTCCCATCAGTGCATTCCTGAAAAATATAGGCACATCATCTCACCCAAAGTTACTCATCACATTAAGGGATGAACTAACCGCATGTTTAAGCTCACGAATGCTTTTTAAACTGAGCCAAAACAAAATAAACACTGCACAATTCACAAGGTAGATCCACACTCCAAGGGCCAGACATACCATTTCACATACTCATCTAGTGTTTTATGCAACATTTCACACGAATAAGTAAATAATTTACTAAGCTCTGTTATTGTGCATATTCTCATTGGTGTCTTATTTCACTTCACATGTGAACACCATATTTAAAGGGGGAAAATACCCACTGACCAAACAAAAATTCAAAGGATGTTTCACCAAAATATCCATAGGAAAAGGACACTGCTCCACTCCTCTGCACCCTCCTCCCCTTTAAAAAATTTTTTTTTTTTACTGGCGTGGTTTTCTGGGGACACAGAAGCACAGATGAGGGAATGAGGGGTTACAGAATTTAAAATATTCCCATTTTCATAGTAAAATTATAAACCTAAACAAACATAGCTTAGGTTAATTAAAAATAATTTCCTCCCCATTCATTGAAACCTATCTAGACTATAGGATAGGATTTTAATTAAATCCTTAGCCATTCTCTAGACATATGCGGTCTAGTGGATCCCAGTTTATTTCTGGATATGTATATCCTCTGTCATCAACTTGCAAGGAGAAGCAATCCTTGAAAGACCATAATAATCTTTGCAATAACAGTTAGTGGGGTTGGTTCTGACTGCATTCCTCCCCAGAAATAATAAGTGCACTTCAGTCAGGGAATATAGGATCAAAGTGTTCCTAAATCCTAGAATGGAACATGCCACTTAATACCTGAAAGAATCAGAAAGGATTGTGCAAGTGTACATGAAAGCCAGAGTGGTTATCATGCTTATACCTCCTGGGGGAAGAAATGTGATTAATTATGTTTACTCTGAATCTGGAAACTCATTAATTCCTGACCTTGCCCATTTTGTCTTTGCTGCTACTGCTGGTGGAGCTGAGAGATCTCATCCTCTGTTCTTTTTGCTCTTCCACCTCAGACTTAAGGTGCTCGATGTGGACCAGGTAGGCCTGTTCTTGGGCTTCTCGGGTACTTAGTTTCAATTCAAGTGCTTTCTTTTCTTTCTCTAGAAGGTACAGTTGTGCCTTTAGCTCAGCCATCTCCTCCTGTTGAAGAGAGGAAGATCACTTCAAAGAATTGTACACAAATAGGAGACAGTGTTTAGACAAGGAATGAAATCACATGTGCATTACTTACCAATGCTTCAAGCTTTAGTTTGATTTTCAATGTATTTTTAATTTGGGAGTCACAATATATGTGTGCTCTTGTAACAGGAATCATTTGCAGACACATAACAGACAGGAGTTTTCTACAGTAAATGTGTTTTTTTTAACTGAATGTGATCACGCGTGTTATATTTATAAGCAAAAATAACTAGGAAAACATTTGCAACTTGCATTTATCTGGATATAAAAGACCCGATTGAGAGATAAGTCTAAGTTGGTGCAATATTCGCTTCTTTCTGGGTACACCAATTAGCATTTAGACTGTCACAACCAAATTCAAAGGTGATTAAGTTACATGCTAAGAGAGGCATGGTAGTCTAAGGAAAAAAATAATTAATTTAAATTAATGGAGCTATCTTAAATGGATCAAACCTGGGTAGCTGACAAACTATAAAGAAAAATGTAAATGAGGAACTGTCACCCAGTGGGTTTGTTTCTGTAAGACCCCACATGGTTTTGTTCTTGGCCTGATGCTAATCATTATTTTTATCAATAATCCATAAGAAAATGTAAAATCATTATTGATAAAATCTGTTGAAAACACAAAAATTGGTAGAAAGGAACATAGTAATGGGGACAGGTCAGTTAGATCTGGCATCACTTGAACTGCATGCACTTGCATGTGCTTTAATATAGCTAAATGCAAGGTCATAAGATGTAGCAACAAAGAATATAGGTCACTTGTATAGGACTGGGCAATGTATCCTGGAAAGCAGGATTTAGAGATGACAGTTCAATGGTGATTCATTGAACATGAGCTCCCAGTGGAATGCTGTAGAGAAAAGGGTGGGTGCAATCCTGGAATAATTTGCAGGGGACTATCAAATACAATTTACTGGGTGGTCCTGGACCTCTTTAAATGCCATTTCTGAGACGACTAATGAAATACAGTTTCTAGTTCTGGTGTTCATACTCCAAAGAGGAAGATGGAAAAGGTTCAGGAAGAGCTAAAAGAATGACTAAAGAAAGATCTGACCTAACAGACTTGAAAAAAACTGGTCTGTAGGGATTTTTGCCTTCCTCCATAGTGAGAGGCATAGCTCTCTTCCTCGGATCTCAAGTGCACTTTAACAGCTCTTGCAGCACCAGCACACTGACTGCTGTTAATCCCCTGCTTTACCTGTGGCACGTTGGGGTGCTTTGGTGCCCTTGGGCTATGTGCCTTGTGGTTATGCCAAAGAGTTGATTGTGTAATGTTAGGAATAGGTTAGATAAGGACTTGTATGAGATTGTTTGGATAGGGATTATCCTGGCTTGAGCAGAGTTTGGACTAGATGATATGATTCTACCTAAATTTATTGCAGAGAAGATTAAGCAGCAACTTGATCACTGTCCACATAACATCCACTTGCAAAAGAGATTTCTGTTAGTAGAGATCTCTTTGATCTAGCAGAAAGAGAGATCCAGCAGCAGGAAGCTGAAGCCCAACAAACATGCCCAAGAAAAAAACTTTTTTTGTTGTTTTTTACAATGAGAGTAATTAACCATTGAAACAACTTACTTAGGCACATGGATTCTCCATTACTTGAAGTCTTTAAATCAGTGGTTCTCAACCTTTTCAGGTTCAGAGCACCCCTCCAGCACTTCTTTGAAAGTTGCAGCAGTCCCAGTAGAGAACCAATGTTGATGTACTGTTCTGGGCTTTGCATTTTAAAAAGGACACAGAGAAGCTAGAGAGGGTCCAGACATGGGCAGAGATGATCAAGGCTTAGAAGTCAAGTTATATGAGGAGATGCTGAAGGAGTTAGATTTGTTCAGCTTTCAGAAAAAATGTTTAAAAGGGGACATGATAGCAGTCTTCAAATACTCGAAGGGCTACCATAGAGAAGACAGCAGTCTTCAAATACTTGAAGGGCTGCCATTTACTTTTCTCTAATGTTACACAGGATCAATGGCTTAAAGTTGCAGCAAAGTAAATTTAGATTGGATATCTGGAAAAACTTCTTCAGTGTGAGAAAAGTGAGGCAGTGGAATAGACTGCCTAGGGAAGCTGTGGACTCTCCATCACTGGATATGTTTGAGAAGAGGTTGGACAGCCACTGGTCAGAGATGATGTAGGCATAGCTACGCCTATGTACTACCATGGATATTTCCCATGTTTCTGGGCTTTGTTGGTTGCTCCCACTTCACCCTCCCCACTTTTCTGCTATATGTGCCAGGGTGTTTTTAAGCCTCCCTAGAGGCATTGGGAGCTGGCTACAGCTAAGGCTGGGGACTTCAAATGCGGTGTGCCGATTCTCCTGCTAGGAGCAAAGCCAGAGGTTCCTGGCTACAGGGTCTTACCCCTCCGTTCAGGGTCGAACTGATGGCTGTATCTGGAGTCAGGAAGGATTTTTACCCCATGGGCAGACTGGTACAGGCTGTGGGGGGGTTTGCCTTTCCCTGTAGCAAGAGGCATGGCCCTCTACCTGGGGCCTCTTGAGCACTTATTGACAACATTTCATAGAAGGAGGACATTGGCTGCCATAGTCCCCCACCTTAACCTGCAGCAGGTTAGGGTGTCGGGTCTATGTTGTATTAGGGTTGAGGGTAGTCTTAGGTAGAGTTTAGATTATGCTTGCATGATATGGTTTGAATAGGGATGATCCTGCCTCAGGCAGGGGGTTGGAGTAGATGACTTCTAGAGGTCCCTTCCAGCCCTACTTCTCTATGACCTCAATGCCTGTCAACCAGGTTTGGCCATCTCCAGGTAAAAGTGCCCCACGTCTGCTGCACAGATAGCTCAGGAAGAGCTGTGATGCACACAGTACTGCTGCACTAGAGCTCTAGTTAATCTAAAGCAGGCAGGAGCTGCTGCAGGTTGGGTAGCTCTTCCTCGTCCATCTCCACCTCTCACCTCTCCTCCTGGTCTTCCCACAACTCCTCTCAGAAACAGAGGCGTGAGAGTCCTGTGTGTCCCTGTTTCTGGGAGGAGCATGGGAGGCACAGAACAGGAAGGGCTACAGCACCAGCCAGCAGCTACAGCTTTAGGGTTATCAGAGCCTTAAAGCAGAAGGAGTGTGTATATAGGGCAGTTTTACCTGGCTGCTGCCACCATGACATCCCAGTTAAGAACCCCACTGCTTTAAATTAAGGTGGGGCTCCTTCTAAGAGATATGCTCTAGCTCAGTAGTTTTCAATCTGTGGTCTGCTGACCCTACGTTTACGGGGTCTGCGAAAGATTACTATGATCTATCAAAAGTATGTGAATACCCACACTTACAATACAAAGGGGGCTGCACCTCCATTCAAAATTTTTATGGGTCCACAAATTAAAAAAGGTTGAAAACCACTGCTCTATTGTAAAGAACAGTTATAGAGCTGATAGACAAATTAAAGGGTGAATTATTTTATTAGTTATGAAGAGTATCAGATTGGATGACCACTTCGGTCACTTCTATGAATTTGTGACTCAGTGCCTTGTTTTATTCGGTAAAGAGTGACATTTGTGGACTTCAAATAGATCCCCTGAAACCAGTGTGTCTGGAGTATGGTGATGATACCCACTGCAGGTGTGAGGATAAAGCAGTCAGTAAACAAGAAGGCACATCTCAGTGTCTTGCAGGGATCAACCAAAAAGCATACACAGTGGAAAGTGAGGAATGAAAACAAATGCAAGGTTGAAGATGTTGGCATGCATGCTTCTATCTACTCTACACACAGAATCTGCACAACTTCAACTCCAATTGGTTGAGTTAAACTGGTGCACGTATTGTGTATAGACTTATATCAGCTTAGCTTGGTTCCATCAGTTTAGACCAGTGGTGCTTAACGTGTGGCCCATGGGTTGTATCTGGCCCTTGAGGTGACTAGGAGCAGGGGCAAACAGTTTGGCCTTTGCAACCCTCTTGTTCATAGATTCATAGATGTTAGGGTCGGAAGGGACCTCAATAGATCATCGAGTCCGACCCCCTGCATAGGCAGGGAAGAGGGCTGGGTCTAGATGACCCCAGCTAGATCCCTATCTAACCTCCTCTGGAAGACCCCCAGGGTAGGGGAGAGCCCCACCTCCCTTGGGAGCCCATTCCAGCCCTTGGCCACTCTAACTGTGAAGAAGTTCTTCCTAATGTCTAGGCTAAATCTGCTCTCTGCTAGCTTGTGGCCATTATTTCTTGTACCCCCCGGGGGCGCCTTGGGGAATAAAACCTCACCAATTCCCTTCTGTGCCCCTGTGATGACCTTATAGGCAGCCACAAGGTCGCCTCTCAACCTTCTCTTGCAGAGGCTGAAAAGGTCCAGGTTCTCTAGTCTCTCCTCGTAGGGCTTAGTCTGCAGGCCCTTAACCATACGAGTGGCCCTTCTCTGGACTCTCTCCAGGTTATCCGCATCCCTTTTGAAGTGCGGCGCCCAGAACTGCACGCAGTACTCTATATTACTTACTGGAAGTGATCCCTGTTCTGTCCCCTTCCCTTATGGTAAATACTGTTTGTGGGAAGCAAGCTCTCTTCCTCTCTTCCCCCAGCCACCTCTCTCCTCTCTTTCGCTACAAGAGGAAAGTGTTGGCCTGTAGTGCAGTCATTTCACAAGCACTGGGTCCATGATGCTAGAAGGTTATGCCCCACTGGTTCAAATGGCACCTATACATTGACAGACTACACCAACAGAAGACAGGCTTAAACTGACAAGAAAGTCGAACCAGTTTAACTAAATTGGTATAAAACCAGGTTAACTAAATTGGTATAAAAATCGAACTCTTAGTTATATCCACATAACTCTGTCTTTTGACCAGGGCCACAGTTCAGTCCTACGAAACTGCAACGGTAAACCTTTGTGCTCTTACACCACCTGCTTCTTGCTACTACCTCAAATCTGTGTTACAGCAGTTTCAAGAATGGCTCTGGATTGATCACTTGAGTACATTAAAGATGAAAGCTTTTGAGACACACTTCCTCCTTCCTGAGGCAATATTAAATGGAGGTGGATTTGTTCTGCCTCAGCCTGCAAGCCTGGGAGCTGCACATGTGCAAGTCAGTGAGAAAAGTAATGAAGCATCACAGTAGTATTGCTATGCCATGCACTTGGTCTCCCTCCAGCAACTCCACTGCCATATCTCTGCTGCAACCATCTGGGCTTGTCAGTTACCATGTCATAAGCTTAGCGTTGCAGATAAAGTCTTTGCTTAGTTCACATGGGCTTAGTCATTGCTAATGCTCTTGCCCTCCATCACTATCCAGCTACTGGAGTGTGAATGCCAACCCTGCTATGTGCCCCCTTGCCCCACCCCAAAAATCACCTTAATCTTCCATGTCTGTGACCCTAACACAGCTTTGCAGACAGAAAGGGCACTAGGCATGTCACACACTTATCATTAAGGGAACTTGATAAGTTCAGTATAATGCAGCTACGCAGTTTGATCCATTATCAATGCAGACTTAAAAAAAAGTCTTTCCCCAATCTTGGCTACATCTCAACATTAGCCAAACGTGTTTGTTAGTCTACAGACAATCAGAACTACAAAATTAAATCATTCTTATTCATGACAAAAGGATGTTAATGGTAAAGCCTGAAGAAAATTCCAACTATTTTATTGCTGATCTGAGCAGAAACATCAAATGAACATGCCTACTTGTTGCTGCTGGGTGCTCTAGCAGATAGTGAGGTGGACTGCAGTGCAGCAATTAACTACTGTCAAGATTTGTTTAGGGAAGGTGGGTGGAGGTGGAGGTAGGAAGGGAATGAAACATTCATGCCTATCTTCTGGGTGCAAAAACTTCCCTACTAACTTCCACAACGCAATTACATCTGAAAAATTAAATATCTGCAGCAATGGAAAGTACAGAAGCAGCACAACAATCTAATTTAACATAAAAACAAACAAGCCCAAGGGAAGCAGCATTGATTGCTCTGGATATAGCAAGGGAAAGCTTTGGGGGACAGTACTACATAATACCATAATTCCTACTGAATTGTTCAGGTCTAACAGGCTGCATAAGATACATGATTATGGGTATGCTGAAACCTTTTCAGAGACAGTAAATACAGGGATACTTTACATAGGGGTTAGCTTATTCCAAAGAGAAGGATAAGCTGTGCTAATCACATGCTTGCTATTGTTACAGCATCCCAATGGGATGTAAGGACTGTGCACACAAGCTAGATACATAAAGCCTGTAGTCGGGAATTAGAAATGTGTTTCTAGATCAGGGGTTCAAGGATGCTCAGCCTTAAGTTGCTATTCATCTGTACGGGTGTGGTTGTTACCCTGAGTTCTAGTTTTAGTTCAAGATAAAGTAATCCAGGGCACAGACTGCTTCGCATAAAATACCTTCATAGCCATGAGTTCCTGCATCAATACAGCATTTTCCAGATCAAGCCTCTGACTGTCTCCACGAGGTTTGACATCATAACTGAGTGGATCAATGTGAATGCTCTCCAGTTCCAACATGGTGAGTTTGACTGCTGCCCTATCATTCTTCAGTTGCTGGATGTAATCTTTCAACCGCTGCTCATCCTCTTTTGTGAACTCTGTATCACAGCTACTTGCAGTTGAGCTGGTAGTACTGAAAAAAGCAAACACATCCTCACCACCTTGAAAAAGGGGATTGTATTTCTAGTATCCTCACACTATTTGCACTTCAGTTTAATCAACAAATCTGATCCATCCATCCATTTTTACATTACCAGTTACAATAGAATATAATTTTAATTAGGATCTAGTATGTATTTTTTAAAGCACTATGGCAGCACTTTAGTAAACACCACCATCAGTGTGTTAAGTATCCAATTTTTCATATTTGGGAGGAAAATTTTATGAATTCTGTTTCACTCTCTGAATTCAGGTAAAAGATATGGATAGTATACCAAGTGTTACAATATACAGAAAATGCATCTACAAGCCTTTCAACATAAAGAAAAGAAAAAGCATTCTTCAGACAGAATAAGAATAAAAGAAAAAAAATCTCAGAATACTGAATCAATTACTTCTTCGGTGCAAAGTCAGGTATTTTGTTGCCTGGAATTAAATTATTTTGACTGAAATAACAGCTTTTGAGTATACCCTTTAAAAAAAAAAAAAGTGAACTCAGTGCTTTATGTATTATACTGAGAGCAATGACAACTAAGGTCTATTACATACAGCACCTTTGATACAGCACTGGCAATAGCACAGCCAACTTTTATACATTGCCTCCCCACTGTGCCCTAACTTTCCAGGGCAAGGACAAGACCTAGAAGCAAAATGGTATTTCAGAGCCTGTGATCTCCTTGTAATAAATGTTATGGTTCCTTATTTTTGATAGACACCTGCAGGAACTTGCCTGAGACTGACTGGCAGGTTGCTTTAGCAGATCCACCAGCAACTGTCACATGGATGGCAGTGTCTTTCAATCCCTATCAGGCTGGGGCTGAATCTGAAATAGCAACCAGCTACCTATCCAAAAGACAGCCAAATCACTCAAACTTAGAGATTTATCACAGGATTTCTAATGAACTCCTTCATCTGACTTTTCTGTAGCGTTCCTTTTCTAAGATGCAGTTTCCAAAGCAAAACTGTCAGTCAATTAGCTTTCTGACATGGCACCAAACATGGAGCTTTTCTAAAGAGAAAACAATGTCTAGATAAGCATGGGGTGCCTCAGTGCTCTGTCCCTATCTATCTGCATACTAGTGGTCTAGGGAAGAGAGATTTGTGGAGGTTAATTGCAATGCTGCTTTAATTCCTTAACATTACAGTGCTGAATATAACTGCAATAACACAAAAAAGAAAAGAACCAACACTGCATTTTCTACAACCTCACACAGACAGGCTGCCTGCTGTCTCCCGAGGACCTGTAATCAGCTGCTGGGTGAGGGTTAAGTCATCCATTAAGTGTGCCTGTCTGGAATGCTGGATGATCTCAGTTATCAGCAGGGGAATAAATCACTTTCTGTATTGGGTTGCATTATTTTTCAACATTTTTGAGGGAAAAACCCCACCCTTTGGAGTCCTGCTGTCTCGAGAATAATGTCCTCGAATTGTATTTTGCGTGTGCTAGTATGCACTGGAGAAAGAAGGGAAAAAAATAGGCTGAACCTGTGTTCTAACTGTGTCAATTTTAAGCTGCATCAGATAACGGCCAGAGAATCTTTGGCCAGAACTGCAAAAGCAGGGCAGCCCAGGAGGAAAGGGAGCATTGGCACAGCTACAAAGACTTCCCTAAGTCTCTCCCTCTCACAAAATATCACATTACATGGCTTTGCTGCAGCTTTCTGCTCATTTCAAATAATTTCTTCTCTCTCCAAGGAATAATAGGCGCCATGTTTACTTGAAATGAAAACCCTTTTTTGTTTTTGTTTTCACTAATTTCCATCTGCATTGAATCAGAAAGCAGTTTGTCTAGTTTAGGCAAAAATATCTGCAGGTATTAATGAGGTCTGCTTAATACTTTTGTGTTTCAGAGGATCTTAAAGCTCTTTATAAACCTTAATTCAGGCTCACTACTGCACACCTCTGAGATAGGAAATTCAATAAATTAATATTCAAATCCATCTTCAAGTGGCACTGTAAGCTCCTCTGGCTTCCATAATAAAAATAAATCACAGTTTTTCTGGATTACACATCCACACCAGAGGTCCCCTGAACCTTGGGGACAGCCTATGGGGTCCCATACAACAATTAGTGCTCATTTTAACTTTCATATAAAGACAAGATATACCTCTAGACTCCTGTGCTGGGCAGAGTGCTTTCAAACTGAAAAACAAGTACAGGACTGTAAGCCTATGGTGGGTATTAGTTTTAAAGCTCACTAATTAATATTTGCAGTACCTGCCACAGCTGTAGAAGACTGATGTTAATGTCAGTGTCTGTAGGTCTCTCCATTTTTTGGAGACGAATACACAGCTGTGGAAGGCAAGCTGGGTTGATAAAAGCGATGCTAAGACCGGTCTGGCTTTAGCTCAATCCTGGCTGCCTGCCTGCAGCTGAGCTGGCTCCTCTGCTGAAGTACTAGTGAAGTCTCTTTTACAAGGTGAGGGGAGTTTAAGGGTGAAGCTTTTTCAATCACAGGCAGAAGAAAAAGAGAGCTCTCCCTTCTCCAATTTCAGCCATAATCCTGCCCCTTCCATGAAAGAGAGAGAAGCAGCAATCTGGGTAGCAGAGGGTAGGGTTTCACAGCCAACCCCTACTCATAGAAGGTGGAAAGCACACCCATCTCCCCACCCCTTGTTATTTATCTTACTATTTTCTACCCTCTGGACCCAGAAAAAGAGGTCCAGAATATGAATCTGCATCACCAAACAAGGAAAAAATGCCAACATGAATGAGTGTGACTGTGCTGTGACACCGTTAGGTGACCTCCTACACCGGCTCTCTACAAAATTCTCAGGCCAGCCCTGTTGTTTTTTTGGTGGGGGCAGGGGTGGTGAGGGGGGTGACAGAGTGGACAGGGGAAGAAACTGTCAGTGATGACACTTCCCTAGCTAAGAACTGTACAGTACTGAATTTGGCATCCTAATGTCCTTTTCTATAGCAATCAGGATAACAAGAATGAAACCAGGGGACTAAACAGGAAGAATGTCTGAATCAGAAAAACTGATACACGATTTCATGTCAGTCCACACACAGTGTTACTGCACAGTCAGCCGCTTACATGTGCGTTACTGTGCAGTAACTAATTAGGAGTAAATTTGATACTTGCATCATGCGTGGTGCAGGTATCAAATTTATGCTCAAGTTAGCGTAAGTCACCATATCTACTGCACAGTATGGGCATGCATATGTAGATGTGTGCCCGTACGGTGCAGTAATTCCGGCTACTACACAGTAAATGTGCACGTGTAGACATATCCACGGTGTTGGTAAATAACCAAGATGAACATTCTACCCACACTGCCCATCTCTGGAAGCTGACATGATGCCTAGATGAGGTCAAATTAATTTTCATATCTAATCTTTAGAGAGAACATATGACACTGGGAAAGGTTTTATCAGTTGACGTATGTGTGTGTACATACACAAATTCACTCGTAATATTTCTCTGTTTACTGATGCCATTAGGTGTATCTTGTCTTTTCATTTCATTTCACAGAATGTGTCTGGAGGATGGGGATACAATGACCCTTACCTTTTATGAAATTCAATTTGAAATATATAATTGCATGTTAATAGAACTAAAATCATGTAGAAAGTGTCAAATTCATGTAGCATTCTTGATAGCATCAACACAAGTATTTTTAATTTAACGAATGCATTTGTTAGGAAATGCACATTTGTCCACTCATCTTCCAAGTCACAGTGGCTCCACATCTCTGAAAGTGCATCACTGGAAGGCAGGAATAACCTTTTCAAATAAACTGGCCTTTCCCTCAGACAAGGCAGAATTAAAATGGCAGCTTATTGGGCTAAAATCACAATACTCTGGCAAATCCACGTTCCTCTTTTAAACACTACGTGTTCCAATGACTAAGTGTCGTGTTGACAGCATAAAAACAATCTTTGGGACCTGGAAGCATCAACACATTTCCATATCACCACTTCTGTATTTCAGCCAAGATAATTCTTTATTTCAAGTGCTTATCTGAAATCTGTGAGGTGGATGTGATAAGTGGATTTAGCTCTATGTTTGGTTGTGTCCAGATGGCTTGTGGCATGTCGCAAAAAAGGTACAAATACAGACTGGGGCATGATTGGCAAGGCTGTAGACTGCAGAGAAGGACCTGGGGGTTACAGACCATAAAGCTGAATATAAGGCAACACTGTGCTATTCTTGCAAAAAAAGCCAACAGCATACTGGGTTGTATTAACAATAGTGTCACTTGCAAATTAAGGGAAGTGATTCTTCCACCCTATTCAGCACTGGTGAGGCCTGGAGTACTGTATCCAGTTTTGGACCTCACGTTTCAAGAAAGATGTGGACAGATTGGAAAGAGTTCCATGCAGAGTGACAAAGATTATTGGAACTTGGGAAGCAAGACTTACGTGTAAAGGCTGAAAAGAACTAGTGTCTCCAGTCTTCAGTCTGGAGAAGAGAAGACAGAGAGGATTTGATAACAGTCTTCAACTACCTGAGGAACAATTATAGAGAGGACAGAGCCCATGCTTTTCTCTGTGACCACAGGGGATAGGCAGGACTAGTAATGGCCTCAAGCTGCAGCATGGGAAATTTAGGTTGGAGATTAGGAGGAACTTTTTGACTATGAGGGTGGTCAAGCATTGGAACAGGATATCTAGAGAAGTTGTGAAATTTCCATCCGTGAAAATTTTCAAGAGCGGATTGGACATTTGGCTGGGGTGGTTTAATCAGGGATGATCCTGTCATGAGGAGTGAGCTGGACTAAAAAACCTTGTGAGGTCCTTCCCAGCTCTATTTTCCTACGATCCTTTGTTATAGAAACACATTTCCTTTGCATACAATAGTCACACTGTTCCTCCCCATCTAGATGAAAGGTTGGAGGTTACTAGCAGTGTAATGAATACAAAACAGCATTTTAGTCCCTGCAACATCTCTCTCCCCCTGCCTCATTTCATTCTTTTCAAAGGTGCAGTCAGTTGACTCTTCTTGGAAATAAATGTTCCATGGTTAGA